ACTGAATAATTCATTACACTAAGAGAAATCATTTTTTTAAATAAAATTTGGGGGTCACCGATGTCGTTTACGAGTTAAATTACTTTAAAGCCAAAATATCCGCCATCTTGAAACGTCATTGTTGCCATAGCAACGGCAGCTACGCAACTTTTGTGCAAAAATTCAAACTCTTTAGATGTTGTTTTATATAAGTAAGGTACTTTTTGTTTAGGGACCGGTCATTATTTATGGAGGGGGGAGGGGAATTTTTTCTTTCCTAATTTTTTAAAATTGAAAGCCCCCCTGAAAAGAGCAGATATTTAATGATGACCCCCTCTACATATTCGAATATTTTTCTTTGACCCCCACCCCCCATTTTCATTTTTACTTGTCAAATGGGGATACCCAGGCGGCCAGGCGTTATAGTGTTAATTATTAATTAAATAAGAATATGGAACTGACAAGATATTAACGTCGACCAAAAATATATATTAGCAGAAAATTATAATTAAAAGAGGGGTATTTTCATATATAACTCTAAAATCAGGTTTCCATTTGGCCTGGGCGATTGTAACCATGTTTAACGGCAGAGAATTAATATTAGTGTTTGGAGGCAGGTGCCGTTTGTGGTCCAATGCTGTAACTAAATTTGATGGCACGAAGTATTGCCATAGCAGCTGCGCAGCAACGAGAGTAACAATTAGTAATATTAGCAGCAAAAGGAGATAGCCATGACAATTCTGGACATTTTGCCAAGGCATACCTCCGGCACAAGTCACACTGACAAGTCAGTGGAAACGAAATACAATGTATAGTGGTCTATACATCCTATTTTATGTGAGATTAAAAATTATATAAAATAAAATGACATATACAGCTACCAGATAAAATCCTCTAGAATAAACATGGGTGGGTGGGTAGGGAAAAGGTATCTAAGCGCTAAACTTGCTGCAGCTAGGCAAAGCATACAATAGTACCCAGACCGAAGCGCTGATCACAAGGCACAAAACAACCCCCTTTGATCGATATGACGTCACAGACTCCCCTCAGGGATGTGGCCTGCATAATACATTCGCCGTTAACCTTGCTTAAATGTATTTAACCACATGAAGATCTGATGTAATAATACATTGTCAATTTATCTCTGCAATCAGTAAAGACTGATTGCATATAGCACACAGAAGACAAGATAAATCCAGACTACTTCACATCAGTGACCATTATTTAGTCACAATTACAACCAATGGATACCATGCTTATTAAGCAAATTCCTTCAAATTTAATTGAACCGCCCCCCCCCCTCATTTTCTTGAAAAAATTTAATACCCCCCCTTCTATTCATTTATTTATACATATGCCCCCCCCCTTATTTTTCACTCCCCGCCTTCCATAAATAATGACCGGTCTCTTATCAGCAAGTAATAATTTTTTTCTGATTTGGGGTTGTGTAATAATTGTCCAAAAATGCGCATCTAAATCGTGAATTTTCCATTTTTTTAAAAACTGTATTGAGCCACCTTGGTCTCTTACACGGCAAAAAACGCTCAAGTTGATGCAATACTGATGAAAACAGGATTGAACAATGTTTTGCTGCCCACATTGTTCATAGCAGTCAACAATATCGAACAATATTGTTACACCCGATTCAGGCTCAACAATATTGTTCAATATTGTTGACAGCTATGAACAACGTAGGCAGCAAAACATTGTTCAGTCCTGTTTAGCAACGGGCTCGGCGTTTTTTGCCGTGTAGTCTCACACTGTGCTCCGCGTACTTCATGTAATACGACCTATAGAGGTTTTACTGTAGATTGAAGCATTGCATGCTAAAGCATTGCATTTTCAATCAATTTTATGGATATTTTAAAAAAGTAAAACAACTTTTGCGTGTGACTATAGTCAAACTGGAGCCGAGGATTCAATGCCCAAATCGCCGAAATGGCCATTTCCCAGGTTCTGGTTTCAACAATTTTAATCTTAAGAAGGCTTGCCGATAATTTCAAATAACATCAAACAAAACATAAAATGTGGCAGATACATATGAGCGCATTTTAAGATCATGGAACTATAGAAAGAATGGAAATCCATGTATCACTCACTTACAAAGTGATACGATAATACCTTATGATGTAATCAGTATAGAACTTTTTTAATATGAGAACATTTCCTTCGACCAGACTTTCGAGGCCTGCACTGTACAGTAATATAATTATAATATATTATATAAATCTAAGTTGGACACTTACCGCCGAAATACTTGCTTCAACAATGTTGTCGGGAACCATGTTTCTAAAAAAAATATATACAGGGTGTATATGAATTCATGGATACATTATTCATGGTATAAGACTGGCTGCATGCATCGGTATTGGTCGTTTTTCTGTTGGCTAATTACTGTTAAATTATTCCTTATCTTTATGGGCGCATGATTTATATACCCTTCCATGCATACACTTGGTAAGCAACAATACTAACTATAAACCTTGAAACACTCATTAATAATTGCGGTGCCCAAGTTTGCGGTGCCCAAGTTTGGCACCGCATTATATTCTGCCTGTGAGTTTGTCTGTTTGTTAGTTCGCATCAATAAGTTTCCTTAATCGCCTAGCAAAATTCCTTGCACGTGCGCGAAATTTATTCATTTTTGCGGGAAAATGAATTAATCTTGGACTCTCATAGCCTGCGTAGCAGGCGTTTAGTACGGGCGGGAAAAGAGGAAACGCCTGCCTAAATGGCTATATGACAAATTTGTTTTCGCCCATTAAGGATGATTGACGTTTTGTAATTAGCACCTTCACCCATATTATCCAATCATCAGGGACGCCGGAACGATGTGAAGGCAAGGGGGCAGATTTTCGTGAAAGGGTACTTTTGAATTGATATATACTAAGAGATGTTTGCAAAACATCGGGAGTTGAATCTCGTCTAATCTTGTTTTCTATTTATTGGATGACAGGGGTGTGCGGGGGTTCTCGGCCAGGCGATTGTGCTATTCTTGAAGCTCGATGACTGCATTTCTTGCGTTTTCTGAAGCAAATTCGTAAAAGAATCGCACTAACATTTTTGACAATTCGCTATTTCGCCAAGGCAATCCTTTAAATTGAAAGGGCACCTTTGCCCCCCTTGCCCCTCCTGGTAAAGGACAACGGGGGCGGCTAACCCTCCTTCCCCCCCAGTTCCGGCGTCCCGGCCAATCATAGTCGAGATTTATATTTAGCATCATGCATGCTTTTTGCTCGGCCACTAGGGAGATTTGCAGAGATTTTATGTACTATTTAAAACATGAGCAGCAGGTTTTATCAGATATAAAGATGGTCTGATAAAACACGCACTGCGAATGTTTTAAATTGCTTCGAAAACGATCGATCTAGTATAAGTTCATTGGTGAAATAGCTTTCAAAAAATGCATTGTGTATGTAGAGAAATAAAAGTTAAAGTTTATGTAAATCAAGGGAAATCTCTATCACATACAGTAAAGATACACGTTTATGATTTTTCTTTGTGTTTTCCTCATAAATTATTAATGAGTGTTTGAAGCAATTTTAGACAACAGTCACAACACAGAGCTTTTATCTTTTAAAAGGCTCCTGAACCACGGTTGTTTAACGTATTCTGCCGTATAGCAAATTAACTGCAAATAACAGTTGAGCATGTTTTGAAATGTTATTCTTAAAATCATCATCCATCCTCATAGCTACAATGCCAAGTGATGTAGCCTCAACTATCTGGTCTTGAATTATACTTTAAAGTGAACAAATAACAAGACAACTATAAGGAATATTCGATCCCTGCTCGAGCAAGCTTTGATTTGCCGATTTTCCGTATTCCGTAGGAAGAATCGCGATAACCGGCGTCTTCACAACGTAGCAAATTAATAATAGAGTTTCTCTATTCTGGTTTCAACTGAATTTCGTAGCCGAAATATATAAGATTTCGTAGTTGAAATATAAGAGTTCCCTCGAAAGCATTAACAGGCGGCATATTTTCGATACGCGAGCAAAATTATTGTTGACATTTGAGTTACGTAATAGCATAGTTGCCCGAGTTTCTTTTGTTGCATCAGGGTCTATTACTAACTAATCGCCCGCTGTAGCGGGCGATTAGTTCTAATCGCCCGTTGGCAAGGGTCACACCTAGAACTAGAATTTCCGAAGGGGGTCTGAAATTCTGAATTTCTGAGGGGGTGCCAAGTTGAAATTTCCGAGGGGAATTGTGAAATGAAAATTTCTGAAAATTTTTAATTAATTTTCTAAGGGGTTACAATTTTTTTTAATTTCCGAGGGGGGGGGGAGGAGGATGGTATACCTGTTGACGAAAATTTCCGAAGGGGTGGTCAATAAATTCCCGAAAATTTCCGAGGGGGTCTATCATAATGGAACCACGTCATCAGTTAATTCCGAGGGGCTTGAGAAAAATTGTAAATTTCCGACTCGGGGGTTCTACAAAAATAGCAAATTTCCGAGGGGGTCTTCCGGAAAATCGTTTCTGATCATAAAGGGGTCTAAAATCAGTAACCTAGACAACAGGGGGGTGTGGATATTAAATGGAATGGCCCGATTCGAGCCCCCCAACATCTAAAAGAAAAACCTATTGATTAATTATAGAACGTACTTTCAATGCAAAACATTGCTTGCTGGTCAAATTATTTGAATGGATCTGTTCCTATTTTGCAATCAGGGTAATAATATCATAATATGATGGCAAAACAATTAATCGTATTGATTATTATTGTGTAAATAGGTTGAAAGAAATCTAAACCGTCTTGAATGTGCCTGGGATGCAGGAAGCATAAAATCTATTCTGGGAGGTGGCCAGTCAAAGATTTATCTTCGACCAATTCAAACATCTATATCTACGAAGCCTGCAAGTGACAAAAAACAACCTTAAACGAAAAATGTAAGATGTGTGATCAAGAAATTCTTCATCTGATTTCCGTGTACATTTCATGCTGTGCAGAAAAGAAATCCTTGATCCTGAGGAAAACAATTTAGGAGAGTAGACTAATATAGAGGATGCAAGTCATGCAGAAACAAAGTTCAGCTGTTGTTGATGTGGTTTCACCTATGCTGCAGAGCTCAAACATTCATGTGGTCGCCACTGTCGTGCAAGGAAGTGAATCAGCTGATGAACCAACAGTTGTTGAAATTACAGATGAAGTAGATAGCACTCGTGATGAACATCATCAAATGAATGAATCGAATTGTAGTTCTGATATGGGAATTAATGAAAAGGTTGCTGTAATTGCTAAGCAATGTGTGGAGAATGGGATCAGTGATAACGCCATTGAAATTCTTCGTCATTTACAGGCCAGTTTAGTTCTAGGAAGTCCTGAAGGGATAAAAAATTTTATTATGGTGGATCGGCAAAATTTGTTAACAACAGCATTTGAGGAAATTGATGGTTTAAATAACAAACTAATTACGTTAGAAGTTCAATTCTATAATGAGGTATGTTGTTTGATTCTTCATGTTAATATGCATCTGTACTAACATATACATTATTTATAAGATGCATTTGCATCCATTTTAAAGCATTAGAGAAATGATGATATATGACCATGTAAATGGAGATAGAAAATTGCATCAAAAGTTTACCTCTTGACTGCCTTTTAGTTGAAATTTTATGTAATAACTTCAATCATTACATATTGTTGAATATTTGTTTCATGTTACTGCTCATTTGGTTCAGACAAGATTATGGACCTCTAGCTAAAGCACTGTGTTGCACTTTTCTGTCTTACACCGCAAGACAGTTGCGCTTTGTGGGGACTGTATACTATCAGAACAATACCATCGGAAATAGAACACACACGCGTACTTTAAAACATATTTATTTAAACTATTCAAACAATAAAATATATATACACAACAATCCTTCTGGTTTTCTCTCGTGCGTTCTGCCTGACAATCAATTCGAAGTCTATTCTTTGTGACATACGATACATTTCTACGCCAATCAACTAAATCACCCCTTGTTTGGTCTCCTACGGCGTTATCAATAGTATAATGTTACAAATTATTCTACACACTCCCCCCTTTGAGCTTGCAAGGGTCAAACATGACTTGTGTTCTCCAACGTGCATCCAAAGCTGCTGCTCTCCTAGGTCTATTACTATGGACACAGCTTTCCACCTTACCCTTCTCTCCGTCTTTCTCATTCATTTCTGTCTTTCCTTTCTCATTAATTTTCGTCTTTCCTTTCTGGTTATCATACCCATCCACTTTATTTTCAACTTTATTATCCTTTCTTTCTTCCGTTCTGCTTCCGTTCTCATTTAACTCTACAGGATACAATTTCTGAACTGGTCTATTAAGATTTACTGGATTTCCTTTAGTCATCACTCTCACTTTCGCTCCTCGAACCACTTCATCTTTACCGACAATTAAACTCTCAATCCTACCTAACTTCCACAATCCTCTCTTAAGATTCTCGTCAAATACTAAAACTACATCTCCCTTCTTCACTTTACTATCCCTCTTCTCCCTCTTACTTCTATGATGCTCTCTCAAATTCGTCAAGTATTCTTTTCTTCATCTCTCCCAAAAGTGAACTCGCAGTTTCGCTAGATGCCTAAACCTACGCTTAACCTTTGTCTCATCATTCTCTTCAATTTTGTAACTAGTCTCGTCTGAACTTAATTCACAGTCATAATACACAACTGCACAATAGGCTTTCAAACTAGCATCCCCAAACCCATGTAATGAACATTTGGGTTTTCCAATTAGATTTCCATACACACACCTTGGTATCATAATTTGACCTACAACCTCAAGATCATGAACCCAACCTAACCATTGCTTCAAATATTTTCCTTTTAATTCAGAATCCCAATCTACTTTGTCCAAACACAGTGCTTGAAACAACATCTTAATACTTACTATCATTGGGCTAAGAATTCCAATGGATCAAACAACCCAGCTAATATTCTAAGAATATTGCGTTTGGTTACAGGTTGCGATTTTGCTTTCTCAACTAAACCCTGAAACAAAAACTGAAACTCATCAGTTGTACAATTCCAAGCTAACCCAAGGACTTTCTCTGATGTGTCACTTTTGCCTGTCATGCAAAGGGACGACTTAGCAAATGTTTCTTCACATGCCAAGTTTCCTCTATCAGGCTTGATTTCTTCCTTTGATTGGATTTTCTCTAATACAAGTTTACTATTACTGAGCCATTTCCTTAGCTTGAAACCCCCAAGAAGCTAATTTGTTACTAGAAGCCTCATATAATGATAATGCATGCTCAGGGGTTTGTTCTCCAGTTATCAGATCATCAACATAAAAGCCGTCCTTAAACTTTCGAGTCAATTCAGGATTACCCTTCGAAAAGTGGTCAAGATGGTGTTGAAGTGTGGCATTCAGCAAAAATGGTGAACAGTTCATACCAATAACAACTCTACAAAATCTATACTCTACTGGCTTCACCTCATCTTCATGTATGTTGCCCACCCAAAGAAATCTCAAACAATCTCTGTCACACGGATCAATTTCAATATTTAAAAAAGCCTTCTCTATATCTGCTACAAGCGCTATTCGCTTTTCTCTAAAACGCAATATAATGTGATACAACAATGGGGATAGAGGTGGCCTAACATGCAAGATGTCATTTAAAGATACACCCTTCTTAGTCTCTTTACTCGATGCATCATACACAACCCTGACCTTAGTGGTCTTTGCATCTTTACGAACCACAGCATGATGTGGTAGATAATGGATCGTATCAGCTCTCTCTAACTCTACAACTGGTTCTATAATACCTAGCTGTAACTATTCTTTAATTACTCTATCATACTCTTGTAAAACTTCTGGCTCCTTCTTTAATCTTAAAAGCTGTCCCTTTAATCTCTGCACACTACAGCTATAATTAGTTGGCAATAAACTATGCCCTTCCTTCCAAGGTAAACGTACACTATATCGTTGGCCATTGAAATGTATTGAATTATTTAATAACTTACTAGACTAGCTTCCTCTTCATGCTTTATACCTAACGTTTCATAATCCCATAATTTTTCAACACATGCTTCAAGGGACCTATTCTTAGATGAATTTACATGCCCAATAAGGTTTACACTTACCTGTGCACACGATGTAGGACCATCATCATCTTCAGAGCTACTCTTCAGTGGACCTGACAACACCCATCCTAATTTGGTTTGTATCGCAACAGGTTCATCACTCTTGCCCCTAACCGTACGCCCTTCTTGAAATAACCACAAATAATCTGCGCCAATTAGTAATTCTATTTCTAACACATTCTTGGTCTTACAAACATCGGAAAACCATAACCCTTGCAAATGTGGGTAATCTTTCTTCCTTGTCTCTACATGCTCATTCCTAATCTGTGAAATGCTGTCTACTCCATAAACTTCAATGCTAACACTCTCTCCCCCTGTACTGGGGCTACACTCAATTCAAACACTTCTCTCAACTTCCCTTCAACTTTCTCCTGTCCGAACGTTCTAATTTCTACCCATTCCCTCCTCTTTACTGGCACTCCTGCCTTCTGAGCTACCTTGCCCGTAACGAATGACCGTTGACTTCCTGAGTCAAACATAACCCGCACTCTCACATTCTCCTTTCCTCCCATCACCAAAGCCTGAGCTGTCTGCAATGCAACTCTATTTGCTGACCCAACGCACGAATGTGTGGAATGAACGACGTCAGCGGTTATAGACCCATTAGCATGGCTGTCACAAATAGAACTATGATGTCGTTTACTGCATGCACTACATTTACTCGTATTTAAACAATTACTACTAATATGTCCTCTTTTTAAACATATAAAACACCGTCCGTACTTACGAAGTATCTGTTTACGCTCAGCAGCATCCTGAATTTTCTTACAATCTTGTCATAAATGTTCTTGTAAACAATATACGCATTTTGGCTTCCCTTCCCTGGTGGTATGATTCACAAGAGCAGCCGCCGATCCATCTAGAAACTGTGGTTTCCTTCGTTCTTGTTTTGACGTGTTCGTCGTAGATGATTCGTGTGCTTCGCGTTTTCCATCTAGCAGTGCTTTTAAAATATCCTTCAACGTCCAACTTAGAAAGTCTGATCCACTTGTCCCTCGAGTTATCGTCAAACGAAGGGATTCCGGCAGCTTGTCGAGTATTTCCGGAACAACAATCGTGGCATACGAACTTTCGTCCACTCCCAGGGTTTTCAGACCTCGGCAGTTTGTCTCACAGGCATGGTACAATTCCCGTAGTCGACGCACATCTCGCTCGTTGTATACTGGCTTTATGTTCATTAACGCTTGAATATGGGCTCTCTGTATCGCCCGTTTTCTTCCCATATCGTGTCTTCAGGAGTTCTAATGCTTCTTTATAGTTCGTTGCTGTCAACATGAACCCTGCGATAGTTGTCTGCGCGGGACCAACCAGTAGACCTTTCAAATACGCGAATTTATCTACCTCTGATAGAGCGTCATTCTGATTTACAGAACTACCAAAGGAGACCCAAAATTCTTGCCACTCTAGAATTTTTCCATTAAATCGTTTGA